TTGGGGTACACTAGCACATGCACCCAGCTTGTTTATGAAGTCACCAGGTCCGGGATTCAAACCACTCAGCCATGTGGGAGCCAGTGGCCCTAACCTCCACACCACTGGTTGGACCACAGCTTGTTTTTTTTTGTTGTTTTTTTTTTTTTTTGAGAGGTTTTTACTGTAGGGCGCGTGCGCTCGCCAGACAGACAGAGACAGTCATAGAGACCGAAAGTGAGAAATCACCCCTCCGGGGGGATAGCCACGCCGCAATCCCTTCTCCATTCTCCTCTCGGGATCTTGGGCATGCATGCACACGCACCCGGCGTGAGTTCTAAGCCACCAGGTCCAGGATGCATTCCACGGTCGACTACGTGGGAATCCAGCGACATAGCCATTAAGCTAACTGCTGGTTCCCAACCACAGCTTGTCTTTAACACGGCAAACTGGAAACAGCCTAAATGGCCATTAGCAGAGAAGAAGAAGCACCTCCATCATTGAACTTTATGTTAGACTTGCTTCCTCCTTTTGCCCAGAGTAAATAGAGTAATTAATAGTTTCGCTGTCTTTGCTAAGTAGCCAAAACCTTTCTGTGTAGCTGTTCTTTGGCAATGGAATCACCAATCACCAGACCCTCACCCAGAGCCATGGGGACCATTAAACAAACGTCCAGAGAATGCCCTTAGAAATAATCAACCTGTTGGGGCCAGCAGGTGGCGTGGTAATTAAGGGTGCTGGACTCCCACATGACCTACTGCAGTTTGAATCCTGGACCTGGCAGCTTACTTTCTCTCTCTCTCTTTCTCTCTATCCCTCTCTGGTCACATTAAAATAAATAAATAAATAAACAGTTAAATAAAATAAATCTTTTGAAAAAAAAGAAAAAATTAACCTGCTTTCGCATGGGAACCCCACTCCCTTTCCTCTTCACCCTCTCAGTTTCCATTGCAATCACCATATCAACCCAGAATTGATTGTGATTTTTGCCTATATAAGCACCCTGTTTTTTTACTCGGGGCTGTGGGGTTTTGAGAGCCATGAGTCCTCCCACATGCTGCTGGCTTAATCAATAAAACTCCAATAAATTTGGCTATGTCTGGATGTCCTCTTATTTCTCACTGATTAGACTGTAAGCAGATGTATCGATAACTAAATGGTGCATAGTCAAGCAATGAAAGTGTTTGGCAGTTAAAACTCATGAACTGGAGCGATGTGAAATAACATGGATAAATGGGACCAGCAGCTGGCGTAATGGCTATGTCTCTCGACTCCCATGTAGTTGACCATGGTTCGAGTCCTGGACCCAGTGGCTTAAACTCATGCTGGGCATGTGTGCGTGCGTGCCCAAGATCCCGAGAAGAGAATGGAGGAGAAGGGATTGCAGCGTGACCATCCCCCCGGGGGGTGATTTCTCACTTTCTGTCTCTCTGTCTCTCTCTATCTTTCTGGCAAGTGCATGTGCCCTATAGCAAAAACCTCTCCAAAAGAAGAAGAAAAGAAGAAGAAGAAGAGGAGGAGGAGGAGGAGAAGAAGAAGAAATAACATGAATAAATGTTAAAACATATTTTGAGGGGGAAAATTTATGTACAATATAACACCATTTATATAGATCTCTGAATCACATAAATCAAATTATGTATTGCATATATCAAATTGTAAAGCCAGGGGCAGTTGCTGGTGTGGTGGTTAAGGTGGTTGGATCCTACATGGCCAAGTGAATGGTTCAAGTCCCAGACCTAGTGACTTGAAAAATATACCAGGTGTGTGTGCATGCATGCCCAAAGTTCCGAAAGGAGAACAGAGAAGGGTGACCATCCCCCAGGGGGTGATTTCTCACTCCCCCCACCTCTGGTGAGAGTACACACCCTGTAGCAAAACAAAAAAATGAACATAAAACCAAAAAGCCATCAATAGAAGACTACCTCTCAGTCAAGATGCAATGGTTGTTGGATTTGGGTGGTGTGTGCACGCATGGGTGTTTGTTTTTTCCTCTGTGCTGTGTTTTTCTACATGTTTTAGATAAGCATATTTTTGTCTTTTGGTGAAAGGAGCTAGGCATTTAGAAATAAGGGTAAAGGGGGATAAATGGCTACATCAGCCCCCGGAGAGGATGATCTTCTGGGATGGGATTAGGAGGAAGGCTGCGTCCTGAGTCCACAGATTACACGGATTAATTCAGATCATCCCCTAAGCTGATCACCTGGCTGACAAGCCCACCACTCCTGGCCTTCCGCCTCCCCCATTCCTCCTAAATTCTTTCCTCCGGTCCCCTAACTTCACACCCATCCCTAACCCAGCGCTGGTTTGGCTGGCGTCTGCTCAGGTTTGGTTCCTGAGAAGCGATGAGCTCAGGTTTACCTCATGTGTTCCCTAAACCAAGGATGAATGGTGACCTGCACCCAGAAGCAGGGGGAGATTAGTCCTAATACTCAGGGTCAGAGCTCCCTGAGGAGATTGGATCCCTGATTGTCAAAACGGACAACTTCCTCCCTGTCCCTTCCTCCATCCGCCAAGAGGTTGGCAGGCAAGGCCAGCTGCCCCCTTGACCCTGCCACGTAGGCAGAACTAAGGCCCGGAAAGGACGAACACGGGGCTTACAGAATTAGTCTCTGTCGGTCTCTGGAGCTAAGTCCCCCAGACCCCCAGTGCCAGCTCTTTCCCACCATTCCTGACAACTATCCTGCTCCCCGAGGCTGGACGGATCTGGCACCGCAGGTGGCTCTGCCGAAGCTGGCTCTGCAGAGGGGTCTGGGTGAGCCTGTGCACAGCTCTTCCCCGTGACTGGGTCACCTTGGCCACGGATCGGAGTGGAACCCTGTGTCTGGGGAGCAAATGAAATCTTGGAGCTCCAGGCTGGAGGGGAGGGAGGGAGGGAGGAAGGGAGGGAAGGGGGGAGGAGAGAGAGAAGAGAAGAGGAGATAGACGTGCAGGCGAGTGTGTCGTGAACAGGCAACATTAACTCTACCGCGTGAAATCAAACCTTTAAGTCTGAAAGCGAGCATTACCTATGTGGTTGGGTTATTTACCTTTACTCAATTTTTCTCTGAGTCAGGTTCTTTGTAGATGCCAGCAACACAAAGATAACTCAGATCCTCCTTCCTCACCTCCAAGAAACGAGACAGACAGAAGAACCCTGACCACCCAGAGTGACGTGTGCACCACAGAAAGGCAGGACAGGGCAGGGCAGGGCAGAGGGACATCTAATGGGGATGGATGGGGTGTTAGGTTGAAGGCTACGTGGGGACATCTAGACAAAGAAGGGCTTCATTCCTGTGGCAAATGGCAGGCTTGTGAACCTGGGAGCCCCTGGCGGGTCAATAAAGACAATATGTCCATGACCTTGAGAGTAGATGTGCAGGAGAAGGGGTTGGCGTGTGCCCTGGCGCGTGCCCTGACTCCTAGTCTCCCAACACCTTTCTGGATGTGCCGGGAAACCCAGGTTCCCAAAGCATTCCCACTTCTGTCCTGGCCGAGCTCTGCTAGAACTGCCTTGTCAAGACCTTGCACCTGGCAGATATTCTAGGAATGAATGAATGACTAAATGAAGGATTGAAATTAGCTCTTTGGGCTTCCATATCTCCCGTCCAGGAGAGCAAAGATCAGCAGGGCCCACTCCCAGCAGCTACAGTGGGGAGAGGCTCGCAGACCACTGGGCGTGGGCCAAGGGGGAAGGTGGTGCCGTCGGAGGGGATTCTCGGGCACTGGAATCTGCGTGGGATCACAGAAGAGGGAAGCTTCCTATGGGGGGCCCTGGCTCTGGCTTGGTGAGGTGCGCGGGAAGCGGAAAGAGCGGCGCCTCATAGTTCACACACCGGGCCTGGACTTCCCTCTTCCCGCCCTCTCGCCTCCGGGGCAGGCTGGCAACACTAGTCCGTGTCCTCGCTGACCGCTGACCGCGGAGGTGGGGGCGCCGGCCCGCCGGGTAGGAGAGGGGGGAAGTGCGTGTGCGCGCGTTTGGAGGAAACAGTCCATCCTTGTCTTTTTCCGCACCATCCCTGAGCGGGACTGGACCCTGACACCGGGAACAGAGGGGTCCTCACGCACGGCGACCCCGGGGTGACCCGCCTCCAGAACCAGTGGATCTCATCGCTCCCCCTTCGGCAGCCTTATGCATGCCCAGAGTAGCTCCCACCGGCTGTCGGCACCGGCTCTTCTCCGCGTTCCCTCGGGGTATCTGGGGACGCGCTGATTCTCCTGCGCCCGCCGGGCCCCGTCAGGGAGACTGGATGCAGGGAGGGCTTCCGGGCGGCGGCGGCAGGTGGCCGGGCCAGGCCCCGCCCCCTCGGCCCCCCTCCTTCCCTTCCCCACCCGCTTCTGCCGCCCTCCTCCCTCCAGACTCCCAGGCCCTCCCTGCCTCCACCGCTCCCCACCTCTCTGCCCCAAGTCTTCCTCCCTCCATCCTGGCCTCCGCCCGGGCCCGGGCTCCATATTTCCGGCCTGGGGCTTCCCACATCGGCCGCATCGTCCCCGGCAGCTCCTTCCCAGGGCTCTCTCCTCGGCTCTCCAGCCCTCGGGGACTCCAGACCCTGCACCCCTCCACCCCGAAGGCTCCTGAACGCGGGGCGAGGGTGGGGTGGGCGAGGTCCACTGAGGCAGTGGGAGGGGAGGGGCGGCCGTAACCCAGAACTCCTTCCCACCTCCCCCATCACCTTCCTCCCCTTCTACAGGCCTCCTCCCCCTTTCAGCCTCTTCACTGGCTCCTGCCCTCTGTCTTCCATCCTTGCCCATCTCCTCCCTTGCCCCTGGGCTAAATATACACACACCCTCTTTCCGTCTGTGCAGAGCAGAGGGACCTGTAACAGCCTGGAACAGGGGGTGCTGAGGAGGTTGGGGTCCCTGCAGGTGGAGGGTGAAAGGTGACCAAGGGAGAGGAGTCTTGGAGCTAAGCAGTGAGTCAGGCCCTCCACGGGCGTTAGAATCCCAGGGCTCCTTGGGCTGGAAGGCATGTTCCCCTTCCCCCCTGCATCCCAGCCGCCTCTGGCATCCCACGGTCCCTCTTCTTTCTGCTCGCAGGACCCACCGTAACCACTTTGGGCTCCTATGAGGTGACTGAGAGCTGTGAGCGGAAGAAAGGCCAACGCTGGGGGTCCCTGGAACGGCGGGGGATGCAGGCTATGGAAGGTGAGTTTCCCCAAATGTTTCTTTCTCCCCCTTTCTCTGTTCCCCCAGTCCCCTTCCCTCCTCCTCCCTCCCTCTGAGGCAGGATATAGCCCTTCCCTTTGCTCACCTCAGCCCCTCCTGATTAGGTCAGAGCTCCAGCCCACCCCAGGGCTCAGGCTTTGAAGAAAGTTCAGGGTGCATCCGTCTTTGGGTCCTAATCACCCTGCTCACCAGGTTGTGTGTCCCGGGGAAGCTGCCAGAGAGAGAGGCCTCAAGGGACAGAGCTTTGAAGCAGCCTGTCAGCAGGGGGTTTGTCCTCACTGCCAGCTGACCCAGATCCCAAGCTGTCTCTTATTTTACAAAGCAAGAAAGTGGGCATATGAGTTGTGTTTCTGAGAAGGGTGGCCACGCTAACTTCGAATGGAGGCCACTAGATATCACCTTGCCTGAAAAAGAGCACCTGGGAGGGGCAGGTGAGAAGGCCAGTCTCCTGACACACATGTACCCCTGCCATACCCACGTGACTTGGCAGATGGTAGGATGCTGGCCTGTTTTCTAGGACTTTCTGTGAAGTGTCCTCAGGGCCCTCTGCACATTCAGCATGGGCAAGCCTGTTCCCACAAGGCTGACAGATGACACGAGGGGTCCCAGATGAACCTTGGGCTGCAGATATTAGAGAAAGTAAGACCAGAGATGGAGAATTTTAAACCAAAGCCAATAGTCACCATCTAAATGAGATTTGCTATTTACAGGAACTGCATTGCAGTAAAGGAGGGGGTGCTCACCAACCAGAACCTGGGGACCAGCACGAAACCCCAGTTTTTTAATGCACTAAAATGACAGGCTTTCTTTTACACACAAGTACAACCTAGGGTTTCCCCTGAGAACCACCTCATCATCAGCAGAAAAGGGGAGGGGGCCCTCATCATGCTCAGGTTGGAGAGAGTCCTCGTGATGCCCTGCAGGGAAAAGCAAGGTGTGGAAAATTTCAGAAAGGTATTTGAATATATACATCTGAAAGGCCCCAGTGTTTGTCCAGTGAAACATTTAGAATCGTTTTGTTCAGATGTTTTTCTCTACCCACTGACAGGCAATGCTTTCTTTTATGGAAAGACTAATTTCTCACAAGCCACCTGGATAATTTTTTTAACTTTCTTTTTTTTAAATATGCTAGAGGGTACACATGCTCATCAGAGAGAAAGAGAGAGAGAGACAAAGATAGAAGGGAGAAAGGAAAATGAGAACACTCCCTCCACTGTGGGGGGGATGGCCACACTGCAGTTTCTTCTCCACCACTCCCTCCTTTTGGGGTCCCTCTTGGACAGCCTTATGCCCCAGGTAGCTCCTATTGGAGCTACGATCCCCTCTTCTCTATGCCTCCCTCCTCTTGAGCACGTTTCTCAAGCTGCAGGGTCCGGGACTCTAACCACATAGTTGGCCATGTGGGATCCAGCTGCTTTAATCACCCCACCACCAGCTGCTCCAAATTTGTAGATCCCCAGATGGTAACTCCCGCCCTGTTTGGCCTAAAGATGCACCTAGTACCTGAAACCTTTCTTGACTGCTTGTCTTACCACGCAGAAACCAGACTAAAAGAACCAGGTGTCCTTATGTAAGCTTCACAAGGCTGAGCCAGTGCTGGGCTGCTCCGTTTGCCCAAAGACAGTAATAGGAGGCCACCAAGTGCCGTATTTGCCCAGCAAGGGCCTGGCAGGGGAGGGGCTGCCTCCAAACTTGACCCTCACACCTGAGGACTCATCTTGAGGTTCCGCTCTAGGGCGCTGTGGGTGGGGGTGGGGGGAGCACCAGACAGAACCATTATACCATCTCTGCCTGGAATGGTGAGTTTGAGGGCCTTGGAAGGACTGTAGAAAGGAAGTTGGCAGTGGGGACCAGCAGGTGGCGTAATGGTTACGTTGCTGGACTCCCACGTAGTTGACTACAGTTTGGTCCTGGACCCAGCGGCTTAAAGCTCACACTGGGCGCATGTGTGTGCGTGCCTAAAATCATGAGAGGAGAATGAAGGAGGAAGATTGTGGCGTGGCCATCCCCCCTGGGGTGGGGGGTGTGATTTCTTGCTTTCTGTTTCTCTGTCTCTCCGGTGAGTGCATGTGTCCTATAGCAAAAAATCTCTCTCTCAAAAGAGAGAGAGAGAAAGCTGACAGTGACTCCTGATGGGATGGTTATCTCTCCTAGGGGAGGTGTTACTCCCAGCTCTCTATGAGGAGGAAGAAGAGGAGGAAGAGGAGGAGGAGGAAGAGGCAGAAGAAGACGACGAACACGTGCAGAAAGGAGGCGGTGTGGGCTCCCTGTCGGTCAGCAAACACCGGGGCCTGAGTCTCACGGAGACAGAGTTGGAGGAGCTGAGGGCTCAGGTGCTACAGCTGGTGGCTGAGCTGGAGGAGACCCGGGAGCTGGCAGGGCAGCATGAGGATGACTCCCTGGAGCTGCAGGGTGAGCATGTGGAACAGGGCCAGGCGCTGGCCCCAGGCTCTGTGCACCCCAGGTCTGAGCCTGACGCCACACCCCTCTCACCTCAGGGCTCCTGGAGGACGAGCGGCTGGCCAGCGCCCAGCAGGCAGAGGTATTCACCAAGCAGATCCAGCAACTCCAAGGTAACTCCCTGCGCTTAGACGGGAGGGAGGTGGCCAGCCAAGTGCCACCCAAGCACCTTCTGAGGTTTTTGCCTGGTCAGACAAAAATAACCTACTTCAGTACTTCCACCTCGTGTTTCTCTACTGCTCTCACCCTTACTTCCTCTGTTCATCTCTTTATTTGCTTCTTTTCCCAGGATCCTTTCTTTGCATCTGTACCTGCTCATCTGTCCTCCCCTCCCCTCTCTCCCCTTCCAGCTCACCACTTCCATCTCTGCTTAACATCTTCCTTTTCCCCTCCATCAGCCTTCTTCATATCACACCCCTGTCCGTTGTGCTCCAGGTCAGTGCCTGGGGTAGGTGATCAGGGTTGAATTCCAAGCCAGATTCCTTTTTCCAGTCCCTCCACGGGCACTCTGGGAAAGAGCAGTGAGCCCAGGAGAAGTGACTGGAAAGGACTCTGCATCTTTTAAGGGAAGCAGATGAGCGTGCTTCTCAGGCTCCCTAGGACCTGAGCTTATGGATCCCAAACCCCTTTCTTCCAACACCCACGTCCCTTTGACTCTGGAAAGCAGCAAGGCAGTGTCCCACATTCCACTGCACCACCAAATAAAGAGGTAGCTTTTGTGACTTCTGTGGGCTTCTAGAAGGTTTAGGGCAGCTGCCCTAGAAAACATCAGGGACTCTCCAGGGAGAACTGAGATCAAGCCAGAGGAAAAGTATAAATGGAAAAAAAAAAAATTAGGAAGACCTGGAAGCAGGCCTGGAGAGGAACAAGGGAAGGTGTAAGAGGGAGAGGAAGAGAGAAACAGATGTAAGGAAAGGCAGATGCCACTTAACACATTTGGGGATCTTGGGCAAGTTACTTTTTTTATTATTCATGTTTGATCATTCTCAGGGGGAAAAATTTAACAGACGCCCAAATGGAAAGTTACCTATTGATGGTGCTGTATAGGATAATCTCTTTGACTTGATTGATGGGCAAGTTACCTTGGTCTTCCTGAGACTCGTTTCTTGTCTGTAAAATGGGAATTATTCACTTGTCTATAGACTATTTATTGAGTACTTTTGTACGTGGAGGCCCACTAATGAGTGAGACAGATCAAATCTCTCCTCTAATGAAGAGTACGTTCTAATTGGAAAAGACGGAAAATAAACTAAGAAGGAACATGAGTTCAAGTGCTATAAGAACTATGAATGCAGAATAATAATATGATATATAGACAGGAGATAGGAGGGCAGTTCTTTAGTGGATAAAGGAGCCAAATTTCCCATGACTGACTACAGTTCAAATCCCAGCTCTGGTGGCTTGAAAGACATACTAGATGGAAGAATTGAGAAGGGCTTACAGTATGACCATGCCCCCATTGCGGGTCGCTTTCTTCTCTCTCTCTGGTGAGCACACATGTCCTCTGGCACTTAAAAAAAAGGGTGATAAGATGGGATTTTATTTTCGTTAGGGTAGTTAGGAAAAAAAAATCTTTGAGAAGATGAGTTTTTAAAAATTTGCCAGAGGAGGGACCAGCAGTTAGTGTAATGGCTATGTTGCTGGACTCCCATGTAGTCGACTGCAGTTCGTGTCCTGGACCTGGTGGCTTAAAACTCACGCCGGGCACATATGCGTGCGTGCCTAAGATCCCAAGAGGAGAATGGGGGACGAGGGATTGCAGTGTGTCCACCCCCCCGGGGGGTGATTTCCCACTTTCTGTCTCTCTGTCTCTCTGTCTTGCGAGTGCACGCGCCCTATAGCAAAAACCTCTCCCCCCCAAAAAAAAAAAAATTTTGCCAGAGGATATGTTGGCAGAGAGAAAAAGAGAGGGAGAGGGGGAAAACACCCCCTAGTGAGGCATGGTCATGCTGCAATCCCTTGTATTTCTTCATCCTGTTATATGCCGGCATGCCATGTTTTCAAGGCACCAGGTCCAGGATTTAAACTATGTGGTTGAGCACATGGGATCCAGCTCCCTTAACCACTAGGCCACAGGGCTGGCCCACGAAGATGACATTTAAGCTAAAACCTGAATAATGAAAAGGATCCAGCCATTTTGAGACCTGAGTAAAGAGTACACCAGGCAGAAGGAACACTAAATGCAAAGACCCAGAGATGAGCATGAGCTTCCAGTGTTTGAGGGACAGAACAAAGGCCACTGTGGCTGGAGCAAAGCATACATGGAGGACCCCGGTAAGAGAAAGTGCTGAGCGGCAGGGAGAGGCCAAACTACAGTGGGTCTTGTAGGCCAGCTGAGAAACTTGGCCTTCATTACATGCAGTGGAAAACCATGGGAGGGTCTTAGCCAGCGCTGATCTGCTTCACATTTTTAAAAGAATACTTGGAGGCCAGAAGATGACATTAAGACACTGGACTCCCACATGGCCAACCATGGTTTGAGTCCCAGACCTGGCGGCTTGAAAATCATACCACGGGACCAGCAGATGGCATAATGGTTATGTCACTGGACTCCCATGTGGCCAACCACAGTTCAAGTCCCAGACCCAATAGCTTGAAAGTCATGCCAGGTGTATGTGTGTACATGCCCAAAATCCCGAGAGGAGAATGGAGGAGAAGGGATTGAGGCATGGCCATCTCCCAAGTGGGGATATTTTCTTGCTTTCTGTCTCTCTGGCGAGTGTATGCTCCATATAGCAAAAATCTCTCACAAAAAAAGAAAAAAGAAAAATTGAAAGAAAATCACGTCAGACATGTGTGATGCATGCCTGAAATCCCAGGAGGAAGATGGAAGAGGAGGGATTATGGCATGCCATCCTCCCTGGAGGGCGATTTCTCACTTTCCCTCTGACTGTTCCTGTTTCAGGTGAGCACACACACCCTATGGCAAAAATCTAAAAGTAAAATAAAATAGCACTTGGGCCACTGTGTGGAAACTGGGTGAAGAGAAGGAAGTCGAAATAGCCCTGTCAGCCGGTTACCACAGACCAGCCAAGAGATGGTGGTCCTGTGGGATAGGACAGGAAACATGGAGATGATGCAGAATATATTTTAAAGGTGTAGCCCTCAGGATTTGCTGATGAGGGGATCAGAGAGGCTTAAGAGATGCCTTCACCTTGGGAAACTGGATGGATGGTGGTGTCATTTATTGGTGCAGAGAAAACTTGGCAAGATGTAAGCCTGGGGATTAGAGCAGCCTTTTGAGACATGTTTCAGTCTGTTGAGTTTGAAATGGCTATGGGCATACAAACAGACAGGTTCAAGAGGCAGTTGGATACATGAATCTAGAACCAGGGGAGAAATCAAGGCTGGAGATACATATTTGGGAGTCAACAGCACATAAGACACATTAGAATCCATGAGAGATCACAGGTAATCACGTGGAGAGATACCAGAAGAGGAGAGAAAAGGGTCCAGTCCCAGAGACACTCCAGTCTTTAGAGGTCCAGAGTGGTAGTAGAAGTGAACAAGAGAGACCAAGGCAGTAAGAACTAAAGCCTGCTGTGCCCTGGAAGTCCAGAGCAGGAAGTGCTTAGAAGACATGTTAAACTACCTTGTTAAAAGTTGGTAACTCAGGTCAGCATTTGGTGTTGGAGGGTAAGGCAGCTGGATCCCACACAGCAGTCTGCACAGTTCAGTACCAGACCCTGCAGCTTCAGAATCAAACCAGGCACATGTGTGTGTGTGCCCAAAATCCTGTGAGAATACTAAAGGAGAAAGGATTAAGGCATGACTGTACCCCCGGGGAGTGACTTCTCATTTTCCTTCTATCTCTCCCTTACATGCCCTATAGCAAAAAAAAAAAAAAAAAAAAAAAAAAAGTGGGTAAGTCTAGCAAGACGGCCATGGGATTTAGCAAGATGGAGCATCCTGAGAGATTTCAGGGCAAACAGAAGCCTGTTTGGCTGGGTATTGAAGAGGAAATGGGAGGTCGGAGTTCAGATGATGACAGTAGTCTGA